CTGAGAACTTTGTTCAGCCAATGGGTTTTAGTGTTTTAGCAATCGAGAAAAACTGTAAAAACTGAAATCAGCTCACAGCTCGTCTGAGTCAATGATAGTATAACGAGATAACGCTAGCTAGCGTACTATTCAATCTGAATTTAATGTTAATTTAGCTAACATTAGCACAATTAATAATTAATCATTCTTTGTGGACAAACCATTGTTTTATTTGCAAACGTAGCCGCTATATTAAGGCTTTAAGACCTTGAAGATTCCTCTGCCGGCTGGTCACTCCCGCTTCACAGCGATTCCCTTCACTGTCCGTGTTTTGATTTCGGCAAATCAGTTTTGATCATGAGCCCAACATCCAGCAAGCCAGGAAAACATGCAATCTATCTGAGGGAAGACGTCTTACACTTCTAGTGTATTCTTAAAGTTGGATGATGGATCTCATACAAATTCAAGCACCAAAAGCAGCCCACACTCTATAAGTTCTCTTTAATTAAAAATATGCATTTTCATTCATTCATAGGCTATATGGCTGCAATAACATTTTAGTACAAATTTTTGCCATTGTTTAAAAACAAAAAAAATGCTTAACTGACTGGCGTTTCAGACTTTCAGTTGATATGCTTTCAAATTTTATGCCATAGCCTATATATGTATGTAGGCTATATTTCACATCCACCTCCTAAATCGCCACTTGTGCAGTCACAATTCACAATGGTACAATTTACTCAGGACGATGGTTTGTGTGTAACGTGTGACTTTTTTTGTATGGCATTAAAATTCTTTTTAGATTTGTTCATAAATAGGTTAAGCAAAACAAATGTGATTATTTTTGAGAACCTTTTATAAACCTTTTATAATACTTAACTGCAGACACGGAAATGACATACACTGTATACAGTTCAAATATTTTAGCGTCCCTTATTCTCCTCTAAATTACAGTTGTTCCTTATTTTCCTTTTCTGAAGTTGGCCACCCTAGCTGCCAGACAGTGGTCCCTTCTGATTGAAGCCAACCATTTATTCCGCCAATCTAACTCCTTTGGGATCTAATAAAACTGTAGTTTGGGGTTTCTCTGACGACTGTTGTTACAGCTAACAGCACAACATATCCCGGGCATATTGTAAACTTGTTGTGAACCTTCTAGGAGTGTTTCGTTGATCTTCCTCTGGTAGTTGTGGCTGCTGTGACCATAGACTGAAACAGGTCGCGCAGCTGTGACCCGGACACAAATATGGCGGCGATAAAGAACAGTGACGTCATGGTTCGTATGAATAGTACATGGCAGTTGAGTGCTGTATATCAGCAAAGAGTGAACGAAATTAAGCGAGGATCCGTTTGCAGTGCAGTCCGTGTGCGGTTCGTAGCCTATGCAGTGCAGAAGCAGCACGGGCTCAGTGTGCTTTATTTAGTGTGCTCAGTGCGCTATGATCCGCGACTGTTTACCATCATTATTTTGATTTCAAATTCGAACGTTGTTACTATTTTTTTTTATCTCTCAGCATAGTGATTATCTTTTCACAAAGTAATACTATCTTTCATAGACATATTTATGCTTTAAAATTAAATGATTACAATCTTAATTCAAGTAATGAAGGATTTTGAAAGTCTGACAGTAATCAGTGTTGAGAACTACTGTAAAGTTAACCCTGCCTGCTTTACATGTTTCAAATTGATTAACAGTTGAAAACATCCGTTAGAAATGTAGAAAAGTAATCAAAACGAGTTCAAAAGTAATCAGTTACATTACTTTAATAAAGTAATTGAAATAGTTACACTACTTATTACATTTAAGATAGCGTAACTTGTAATCTGTAACCTATTATGTTTCCAAAGTAACCTTCCCAACACTGACTGTGTATGTAGTTATATTAATGTTGTTTTATATACTGGTAACTGAGGGCCTAATTAATTTGAATGACACAATGTTTAGTGTTTTCGATTCTTGTGCACCCATCAATTATTAATATATAAATATATTCCAATTTAAAACAACTTAAAACATTGTTTTTACACATTCCATCATATATTTTATGTATGTTTGCTTTTGTTATACACTTATTTAAAGCAACAGATTTATTCATTTATAATAAACTGAAAAGCATGTTTTCCTTGTATATTCTCCACCATAGTTTGCTGTGCTGCATGGGAATGCTCCAGTCACTCACAGAAAGCAGTATAAATTTATGGTTTCCCTATAGTATACTGATGCGGAGAGGAGAGAAAAAAATAAATTATGCATCAAGTTTTATTCAATTCACATTTATTTGTATAGCACTTTTTATTATACACATTGTTTCAAAGCAGCTTTACAGAAAATTAATGTCTCTACATTACAAATAAGACTTTTGTATGTTTATTCAGAGTTGGTGTCATCTGAATTCCTCTTCGCAAGAGGCTGGATGTGGTCAGCAGGAGCAGTCTCATGATTGGGTGTACAACAATACACAATAAAGCGCTATATAAATGCATCATTCATCATTCATTCAATCTAACTATAGCTATAGATTACAAGAACAAAATGATGTAATCATACTTGGGAATTTGCACTTTTTCACAAAGACACAAAGAACAGGGAAAGACTTGCAAAACCCAGTGAGATGAGACTCATTGTGAGGAAGATACCTCTGGAAGAAGGTATAGAGTTCATCGTTGTAAACTAAACAGGTTCAAGAATTCATTTGTGCTGGTGTCAGTTAGATTGTGAATATGGATGTATGATGCCTTCCTTACTTCACTGTTTTTTTCTTTCTTTCTTTTTTTTCTGTGTGGGTGGGAATGTTTTTTTTTTGTATTTTAGGAGTATCAATTATGTTGAGATGTTGGGGTTAGATTTTGCAGATCTTTTAGATCTTTTTGGCTAGATCTTTTATGCTGCTTTTCTCCTGGTTGGTAAGCAGGTGCAGCAGGGGGTGCAATCAGCTACCTGCCAGAGTGAAAGTGTGGGAGGAGCCAGAGGAGAGCAGGAGACACAGAGGAAAACAGAAAGCAACCAGACTACTGCAACATGCAATTCTTACAACAATAAATACATCTTTGGACATAACACACTTATATGTGCCCTCCAGTGTGCCTAATGAATGCACTGCATTGAGTGCCGTGACAAAACCTATTCCAAATTGTCCCCAATTCGCAGCTAAGTGAACAAACACACATAATCACAGAAGATATATAGTTAAAAGAAGAAATCATGTTAAAGTATCTAATAATCATCCTGTTCTCATGTGTTTTTCAGTCACATATTTGATTAAATGTAAATCTGGTGCAGCAGGTTTGACACTGAACCGGCTTTATCAGTCCTGTGGTTTAACTGCAGCTCTGAAAATATGATTCATTGAAACAAAAACCATACAGTACAGCATATGGAGTTTAACATTGTAGCGAATCAGCTCATGGGAAATATGAATAATTAATCATAACTAGTTATAATTAATTACAGTTTATTGGGTGAGGGGACTGTGACGATTTGTTAATCTAATGAATAACCGATTTGTTAAATCAAATGAAAAATTGTGTGTTTGATTGGTCCAGACGCTACAAATTCTAACACAACTAGATCAACAACATACTGTACCTAGGAGTGTCTGTCTCTGCTTGAAAATGTAGCATTGTTCCAAGAAACATTTTTCACCATTTCCAGAGAAGAGCTGAAGGTGTATAAGTGCAAAATAACAACTAAAACTGCTGTAAACAAACTAAAGAAATACTAAATGATGAAGTGTGCACATGAGACAAGACCTAAATCTCGCACATGCCTTTATCCAAAGTGACTTACAAATGATGAACGTTACAAAGCAATTTGTCACAAGTCAACAATCATACTATACAATGCCAAGTTTTTTGTATAGATTAGAATAATACATAAAGCTAGAGCAGAGGTGAAACACAGGTAAGTAATAATTATTATTATTTAGTACATAAGTGCTTTTAACATATCTTAAACAAAAAGACAGATTGCTGTGAGAAGGCAAGCCTTGTGAGTTTTAAGACACTTCTTCTCTTTCATTGTGATACATTTAAAGTTAGAGGACAGAAATACTTCCAAAAGCATATTTTTCCCACTCATTTCTCTACATGCAAATAAACGTTGCTATGAGGTGAGCATAAATAAGAATGCAAACATTTCTGCAACACTGATATTAGAGCTCCACACCCTCATGATGACGGAGCAAACTCTCTGTATCTTTGTGATTTACTGGAAAGAAGTTAATTTAATGGAAACCAAGTGACTCAATGGCAATTTTAGCTGTAACACTCACATTGTTTTACACGTATGTAGCATGCAAACAAGAAGAGCCAGTATGCAGTATCTACTGGAAAGATGAGAATCTCCAAAACTGTTTGTCAAGATTAAACTTCAGTAACATTTCAGTCTGACAGTAATGGGATCAAACATGTTGCTCCTTTTGCTCAAATCATGTAACACTTTAGGACAGAAACCAAAACATAATTGTCTCGTTAAACTGTAACAGCACTTCATTCCTACAGTCACATTTAGAGTCAGGATTTTTTTCACTGAATTTTTCTCCTCCTGTCTCGGTTTACTGCTATTTTAGTTTAGAAAAAAAAAAAAAAAAACACCTTATGGGATTTAAATGACAACATTTTCTGAATTAGTAAATAGCATTTCATACACGATTCTAAATGATGCTCGAAAAATTAGACTTGTAATAATAAGCAATGCATTGTCTTACAAACTTGCAGAAAGTATACAGAATACAATGCAAATTAACTGAGTAAAGTTATTTTAATTGAGGCTAAACAAAGTTCAGAGCTGCTTTTATTAAGAATATCAAACTCTGAAAATTAAAGCACAAACACGGCTACATGAAAGCATAAATGATCCTGTAATTCATCTGCAATATGGGAAAATATTTTTGGCTAAACGGCAGCTGTCATGTGACTTATTTCCCTTTATCGAGTGAGATATCAAAGATACTCATTTACTGAGATACAGGTTAAAGTCTGATATGCTGAGGAAAGAAGTGTTGTAATCATCGTCGTCATCTCTTCAGAGTTTCTGGCTGCTGATGGGACTGAAGGCTTTGGGCGTTTCATCCGCTATGAAGGCCTCGATCTCCTCCACGGTTCGAGAAACGCAGGTCAGCAGCTCCACGCCGTCAGCCGTCACAGCGATATCATCCTCAATACGCACCTGAGAAACAGAGACACACACATGAGGAGCAATAATCATATAAATAAAGTCTGAACTTTCAGAAATGCATTTTTATAATATCTGAAACAATGGAGCTTCAGTGCTTTTAATTGTAAAGCAATATTATGAAGATAAAACATATATAGTGCATTCTATATATATATATAATTTATTATACATGTAAATATTTACATTTACATTTGCTCATTTAGCAGATGCTTTTATCCAAAGAGACTTACAAATGAGGACAATAGAAGCAATCAAAACTAACAAAATGCATACTTTATAGCATATAATATTATATATTGACAAATCATCAGCAGAGTTTCCAGCAAAAAATATATGGTGTTAACGAAAATATGGACTAGTAATAGATTGATCAGGTTTTAGTTTCTTTGTAATAATAATAAAAATATCTCAGTGTATCGCAGTGTTTCTCAACTGGTGGACCGTTCTGAGTGGGTCGTGGAGAGCCTGAGAAAAATGTGTTGTCCTGATTCAGTATCTGTGTTTGGAGGAGATGCTGTCAGGCTATATATGGCAGCGTCATTATTCTATATATTTTCAGTCTGTATTCTTCTCATACTATGTAACATATAATCATAGTTTTATATGCAAAGCTGAACTATATGAACTATGTTTCTGTTAAGAACTGATAAACAAAGTACTTGGTGCACCCGGGACCTGGGATGGTTATTGGCCACTTGTTCTCTTCTGATGGGCCACTTCTCATCTGACACTTGACTAGTAAGCAAAATGAATAAAAGACTCTTCATCTCCACCCTGGACTCCCTGTCTCTTCATTCCTGATCTAACACACACATTAACCCCTTGTGGCAGTAGCAGGACATGATGTCACACTCTATGGGGTAAGTTGTCACAACGGAACCTGCCATTAAACTATTATAATGCATGTGAATGTGTTTTATTGTGTTCGTGTGTTTACCCTGCAGCTATTAGTGATTGACAGAAAATGATTTATAAATTCACAAAAAATCACCAGAAGAGTAATATCATGTCATCCAGACTCTTCAGTCCAGGAGGCTAGGCCAACAGGGTGTTACAGTTCTTAGTTAATTTGTAATGCATAACGGCTGCTGAAAGATTATTTTAGTTATATTACTGATTATTTAGAAACTGCCCAGTCTTCATAGAGACACAATCCTTTAAAACACTAGATGGCTACATGAAAGCATAATTTGCGATACTGATTTACATAAGCGGAAGTCAAACAACAGCAGCTGACATGTGACTGATTTCCCTTCATAGAGTGAGAAATCAAAGATACTCCTTTACTTAGATACAGGTTCAAGTCTGCTATATAGAAGAAAAGGAGTGTCATCATCATCATCATCATCATCATCATCTCTTCAGGATTTCTGGCTGCTGATGGGACTGAAGGCTTTGGACGTCATGAAGGCCTCGATTTCCTCCACAAAAACACCACCAAAACTCAATGCACCTACAGGCCCATTTTGTACTGTACTGTAAACATGGATCTTATAACATACCGTAGTTACTATCAGCATCATTCTTTTTTCGAGAAGAAATTTTACTAAAGAAATCATTGTATAATCACTGTATTTTTACTTTTAAATTCAATATTAACATATTTGTGCAGTCAGTATCATTGATCAGACGAATACAGCACATGACCTGTTTAAATCATGGCTCTCAATCAATCAATCATTTGGGATTTTATATTCCTGATGGCACCTTCCAGTTTGCCCTGAAAGTATTTTATAACATATCTGTCCAGATATAAAAGGTCTCTTCTTCACTCTGATTAATGCATTTTCCATCGGGGCTTGCAAAAGCGGTTCATAACCCAGGGTTAAAAAAATGATAAGTGTGAAACATTTCTTTACCCTGGATTATACTGAAGTGGGGTTAAAAACACAATGACCCATGCTGTGAAAAATACTTATGTGTGTCCTCCAGTGTGCCTAATGAATGCACTGCATTGAGTGCCATGACAAAGCCTATTCCAATTTGTCCCCAATCCACAGCTAAGTGAACAAACACACATAATCACAGAAGATATATAAGATATAAAAGAAGAAATCATGTTAAAGTATCTAATAATCATCCTGTTCTCATGTGTTTTTCAGTCACATAATTGATTAAATGTAAATCTGGTGCAGCAGGTTTGACACTGAACCGGCTTTATCAGTCCTGTGGTTTAACTGCAGCTCTGAAAATATGATTCATTCAGGAATACAGTAAAAATCATATGAAGTTCAACATCTGACACGACCAGACCTGCAACATACCTAACAGCCTCAGCCCTTACATGAAAATCAAACTTGATCAGAATCATTTCAGAAAAGAGCTGAAGTTTCATGAGAAGAGCAGAATCACAAGTGAACTGCTGGAAGCAAACTAAAGAAACAAAACGACAACAAATGATGAAGTGTGTGAGACAAGACATAAAGGTTATAATCCACACAATTCACAGCCAACTGATTGCAGTTACAGCAAACCCTCAGTCCACTATGAAAACCACATTGATCCTCTTGATGGTTTTCTCCCTGCTAACAGCTGAGGACTCGTGTGACTGTGAGCATCTACATCTGTGAGCAGCTACTGCAAAGTTACTGGAACAATCCACAACGCTTGACCTCCCGTGAAAAGATCTCATCTCAAACAAACATTTACCTTTATTCATTCAGTTGACGCTTTTATCCAAAACGGGGAACATCACAAGCAATTTGTTGCAGTTCACAATGTTCACAAAGTTCGTAGTTTAAACTACAATCATATTAATTGGAGTAATAGGAATAATAGTGTCTTTAAACTGACTTCCAAAGAAAAGACGAGTTGTTGTAAGAAGCCAGGACGTGTGAGTTTGAGGAGCCCTGTCTCTTTTCTTGTGTTAAACTTCAAGTTGGAAGACAGAAAAACTTCAAAAAGTTTTCTGCCTTTTCAACTCAATTCTCTGGATGCAAATAAACTAATAGAGTTGCTATGAAGTGAACACAATTAACAATAGAAACTGATGCAACAATTGACCACTGCACCCTCATGATGACGGAGCAAACTCTGCATCCAGGTGATTTACTGGAAAGAAGTTCATTTAATGGAACTCAGGTGACTTAACCGCAATCTTAGTACTGTTACACCATCAAACTCAAACTATTGTTTTACACGTATGCAGTATGCAAACAAGTACAGCCAGTATCTACTGGAATGGAGAAAAATTAAATCTTCAAAACTGTTTGGTAACATGCGTTGACAAATTGCTTGTGATGTTCCCCGTTTTGGATAAAAGCGTCAACTGAATGAATAAATGTAAATGTTTGTTTGAGATGAGATCTTTTCACGGGAGGTCAAGCGTTGTGGATTGTTCCAGTAACTTTGCAGTAGCTGCTCACAGATGTAGATGCTCACAGTCACACGAGTCCTCAGCTGTTAGCAGGGAGAAAACCATCAAGAGGATCAATGTGGTTTTCATAGTGGACTGAGGGTTTGCTGTAACTGCAATCAGTTGGCTGTGAATTGTGTGGATTATAACCTTTATGTCTTGTCTCACACACTTCATCATTTGTTGTCGTTTTGTTTCTTTAGTTTGCTTCCAGCAGTTCACTTGTGATTCTGCTCTTCTCATGAAACTTCAGCTCTTCTCTGAAATGATTCTGATCAAGTTTGATTTTCATGTAAGGGCTGAGGCTGTTAGGTATGTTGCAGGTCTGGTCGTGTCAGATGTTGAACTTCATATGATTTTTACTGTATTCCTGAATGAATCATATTTTCAGAGCTGCAGTTAAACCACAGGACTGATAAAGCCGGTTCAGTGTCAAACCTGCTGCACCAGATTTACATTTAATCAATTATGTGACTGAAAACTCATAGTAACATTTCAAATCAGCACTACAATCTGACAATAATGATTTCATGCATTTAGATGTACATATTTAGCTCTAATCATAGGATAAAATCCAAAAGACAATTTTCTCCTTGAACTGTAACAGCGCTTCATTCCTACAGCACGGAGTGTGAGGATTTTTCTCCTCCTGTCTCTGTTTACTTCTATTCCACCAATTCTAGTTTGACAAAAACACATCATATGGGATTTAAACGGCAGAATTTTTTTGAATGAGTAAATTATATTTCACACATGATTCTAAATGATGCTAGAAAAATCAGACCTTTATTGAAATAAGCATTGCATTGTCTTACAAACGTGCTGAAAGTGTACAGAAGATAATGCAAATGAACAGTAAAGTTCTGTTAATTCAGGCTGAACAAAGTTCAGAGCTGCTTTTATTAAGAATATCAAACTCTGAAAATTGCTACATGAAAGCATAAATGATCCTCGAATTCATCTGCAGTATGGTTTATGGGAAATTATTTTTAGCAAAACGGCAGCTGTCATGTGACTGATCTATCTTTATCGAGTGAGATATTAAGGATGCTTGTTTCTTTAGATACAGGTTAAAGTCTGATATGCTGAGGAAAGAAGTGTTGTAATCATCGTCGTCATCTCTTCAGAGTTTCTGGCTGCTGATGGGACTGAAGGCTTTGGGCGTTTCATCCGCTATGAAGGCCTCGATCTCCTCCACGGTTCGAGGAACGCAGGTCAGCAGCTCCACGCTGTCAGCCGTCACAGCGATATCATCCTCAATACGCACCTGAGAGACAGAGAGACACACACATGAGGAGCAATAATCATAAATAAAGTCTGAACTTTCAGAAATTTAGATTTATAATACCTGAAACAATGGAGCTTCAGTGCTTTTGATTGTAAAGTAATATTATGAATAATATGTGGATTATATATGTACATAATTTTTGATATGCGACCCTAGACCATAAACCCAGTCATATGGGTCAATTTTTTTAAATTGAGATTTATGCATCATCTGAAAGCAGAATAAATAAGCTTTCCATTGATGTATGGTTTGTTAGGATAGAACAATATTTGAAAAATTTATGCATCATCTGAAAGCAGAATAAATAATATTTCCATTGATGTATGGTTTGTTAGGTTAGGACAATATTTGGTCGAGATACAACTATTTGAAAATCTGGAATCTGAGGGTGCAAAAAAATCAAAATATTGAGAAAATCATCTTTAAAGTTGTCCAAATGAAGTTCTCAGCAATGCATATTACTAATCAAACATTAAGTTTTGATATATTTACGGTAGGAAATGTACAAAATATCTTCATGGAACATGATCTTTACTTAATATCCTAATGATTTTTGGCATAAAAGAAAAATCAATAATTTTGACCCATACAATGTATTGTTGGCTATTGCTACAAATATACCCCAGCGACTTAAGCCTGCTTTTGTGCTCCAGGGTCACATATCTCCATGCCTTATAGCTGCAATTTACAGCTTAGAGCTGGACAATAGTATAGTTTCCATGTGGCGCCAATATAAACAATCAAACTACTGAGATTTGCAATATAGTATAAATGGCTTTATGTGAGTATGTATACGGGTAAGATAAAAAATGTGTAATAGTTCTCATTTGAAATGAGTAAATAATTTTGCAGTGATATTGAGGATTTCATGTGGAGATAAAGGTTAAAATGAAGACACATATAAAAAGTAAATAATACATTTGAAGATTTATCTTTATAATATCAGGCCTCTAACATTGTGATGTAGTGACACATCATTACTACTAGCTCCAATATTAAAATGATGCATATGGCTTGAGATTCACCTCCATCATATCACCTCTAAATGCTAGCAGTATACATGGCCATGAAAAAGTAGTCTAAGTGAATCTCTCCCTTTTTGATGTGATCAGATCTGACCTCTGGATATCCTCCCACGTCGTGGACGTCGATGCCTAGCATGTGACCCAGACCGTGTGGCATGAACACAGAGCCCAGATGAACCTTCAGCATCTCCTCCACGTTCCCACGCAGGATCCCGACCTTCACCAGCTCCTCCAGGTGAACCCGGTCTGCCAGACGATGCATGTCTGTCCACTTCACACCTGAGCACCAGTGAAGGGTCAGAGACCGTCATTAGACTGAGGTCAGAGCTCATTTTACAGGATCAAAGACAGCGTGCACTTGTTCTTTTAGAAAGTGCATTCTTAAATAACAGAACTCAAATTTCAACATACACTACTGTTCAACGCGTTGAAATTAATTTTATTGACTAAGGACACATTAAACTGATGAAAAGTGACAGTAAAGACATTTATAATGTTGCAAAAGATTTCTATTTCAAATCAATGCTGTTCTTTTGAACTTTCTGTTCATCTGTGAATATATATAATGTGTATATATATATTTATATATTTTTATATATATATATATATATATACATATATATTTACATTGAGTAAGTGGCTTTAAAAAAAAGCCAAGTATAAGCCTAATTAAACATGCAGGGTTCTATACACTTTTTTATTTATTTCTAGCACTTGTACATTTACACTGCACTTAGTATATATATATATATATATATACATATATATTTACATTGAGTAAGTGGCTTTAAAAAAAAGCCAAGCATAAGCCTAATTAAACATGCAGGGTTATATACACTTTTTTATTTATTTCTAGCACTTGTACATTACACTGCACTTACAAATTGCATAAAAAATATTATGAGATTAATGTTTTAAATATAAAAACGGCTATATAGAAATAAAAATGCTAGAAAAAAATAGAATGATACTTTTAAATGTGAAACTAAAATTACCAATAGGTGGCGGCAAACCACTGTCCTAATAAGTGAGTCACTGAGTCATTTATTCTGCTTATTCCCTGCTTTTAATATTATTTTTATTTATTTATTTTCCATTTTTACAATGTACAGAGCTTCTGGACTTTGCACAAGTCCACTTTCTTTTATTATAGATTTAAGCAAACCATTTAACACATAACTTACAATGTTATAAAAAATGCCCTTTTGCACTTTTCTTCTCAGAATTGCAGTATAGCTAATTGCAATTGCAAAATGGATAACGGTTTATATCTCACAATATTGAGTTTATATCTCAGAATTCTGAATTTTTTTCTGAGGACCATGAGAAAAAAAAAGTCCAAATTGTGAGATATAAACTAAGAATTGTGAGGAAAAAGTCAGAATTGTGGGATAAAAAGTTGCAATTAACTTTTTTATTTTTATATTCCGTGGCAATAAATGAGAAAACATTGCATAGAATACAATAAGTAGAAATTAGCAAAAAATAAAAACATAAATAAAATTAAACATATTATAATTACAGCACAGGAAAGAATTCATTATTAGAATTGAAAAAATAGCATTTCTTATTTATAACCCTTAGTATATTTATTAAATGCTCAATTCATCTACCTTAAATCTAGGTATCACTATCACTGTTTATGGACATTTTGCTGCAGATATGAAAAACATAATATCTTCCAGGGATGTGTTGTGGTTTTTAAAATAAATATTTTCTAAGTATGAAAACTGTAATTTGAGATGGATGATGCCGGATGTAAATATAAACTAAAAAGCTCTCTGACTGTAGTAAATCAGCTGCTACTTTATAATAATTCAAGCATCCTGATTTTCACTTGATATCTAAAACATGTACTTGAAAAAAGTGAAAAATGTCTTTCTTTTTCTTGTCCACCAGGGGTCAGTGTGCGACTGCTCATAAAGAGATGATGAAGCCTGAACTACTGAAGAGAGAAATAGTCAACACTACACTGACTGCAAACCAGCATCAATCAACAAGACAAACTGATACAGAACAGAACTGACTAAAATAATCAAGAAATAAAAGAGAAAACAGGCAGATGAACTCACCACATGTCTCCATCCTGGATGCTTTGGTCATTGGGAGCGCTGGCGTGTCCATAATGCAGGACGGATGAGTTATTCCCACTGATGGCAAATTACATGTTAACATGCAACCCAAAACACTCAGAGATTTGACAATATCGTCAACATCATTCTAATGAACATCATTTTTATATCTTTAAATGTTCAGGACGTTCAGGAAGTACAGTAACAGTGACAAATGCATTATTGATACAGTAAAGTTTTGCAGTGCTACTGTATCCACTTAAACACCAATTCAATCGTACAGCAACACACTAACAACCATTCAAACACCTTAGCAACACCCTAGCAATCACATAGCAACACAATAGCAACCACTCAGACACCCTAGTAACCACATAACACACTAACAACTACTGACACCATAGCAACCATATATCATCACACTAACAACCACTCAAACACCACAGCAACACACTAACAACCACTACAACACCATAGCAACACAATAACAGCCACGTAGACATCCTAGCAACACATTAACTACCACTCAGACACCCTAGCAACACATTAACAACCACTTAGACATCCTAGCAACACATTAACTACCACTCAAACACCCTAGCAATACACTAACAACCACTGACACCATAGCAACCATATAGCAACACACTAACAACCACTTAAACACCCTAGCAACACACTAACAACCGTTTAAACACCAAAGCAACCATACAGCAACAAACTAACATCCATCCAAACACCCTAACAACAACCTAACAACCAATCAGACACCTCAGCAACCACAAAGCAACACAATAGCAACCACTCAAGACACCCAAGTAACCACATAACACACTAACAAACAACCACTCAGAAACACAAACAACACCTCAGCATCATGGCATCAAGTTCTCTTCATAAAATGTAAAATCTACTCTGCTCAGAATAAGGTAAAATAAAATAAATTAAATATATATACAAGACAGAGAGATGACAGAAGCATCAAACATTCTTCACCCAATTTGAGCAAAGAGGACATGAAATGTGTTTCGGAAATCGCTGCAGTCCATTTACCTGACTGTGTGTGCGCATGTGTGTGTGTGTGTGTGGTTCGTGGCAGCTTTAATTAAAGCATCACATGCTGCCATCAGGATGTCAGTGTGCAGGATTAATGCTGCCGCCACATGAAACCAACCATCATGACACATCAGACTATCAGAGGACGGGCTCTGAATCACAGTGGCGCTCTCGTCCTCTAATAGAGCCACTCCTGACTCACCTCTGTTTGGGGTTTTCTCCTGTGATCAGCTCAGAAAGCTTTCAAAGAAACAAGCCAAAGAAAAAACACGACCAAATGTCAAGTCTGTGTTCGCTTATGTGTGAGACGTGATAGTGATGTTTTAATATCAAGCACCAATGCGGTTCAAATAGAGATTTTCACTTTGGACTTCTTTATTTTGAACCGATTTCTACCCAGGAAACAATTAAGATCTGAACAAGAGAATTATAAAACACTACTGCAACTCTGAATGGGTGTTATCATATTTGCATATTCACTGATTGGACAAACACAATAACCACTGTTTTAACAACTGCTTGTCTTAGACTTCTTGTATTAAAATTGTAAAATAAAATCTTCAATTAACTAATTTCCCTCAGATGCTGAAACTAAACAGCATGTGAATATTCCTGCAATTGCACAAAGCTCATTAATATTCAATGATTCGGTGTTACATTCTAGTGTTATACTGTATCACACAGGAAGTGCGCTTCATCACTCGGGGTTACAATGTTACTATCCACCTTTTTCAACTGTGAAATATCACTTAACCCCGAATTAGACATGGCTTAAACCCAGGGTTGATAAAAAGTTACAGAAATTATGCAAAAAGACAGAAATTATTAACCAACATCATGAATATTGCACATAAAACCATTTCTTCTTGCTCTCTTAGAAAAGAGCAAACAATAATTGATTTGAAATAATTAATTTCAGCTCACTCCAAACAGAAATCACTCAGACGCAGAATGAAAGTTCACTTTTAATTGAGGACTAATTGTAGCTTGCATCCAGGAAACAGATCCATGTACATTTCCTCTATTCAAGCTTTTTTCATATGACGGAATATGCACACTATCATTCAAAAGTTTTTACCACATTTAATTTTTCCTTCTGTTATGGCTATAAATGATAAAATGGCAACCAGTAGTGAGCGAATGAGGACAATTACAAATGCTTCTTAGAAAAGCCACAACATGTCGTGTAGATAATTAGCTTTACAGGGCATTTTCTCCCTATTTTCTGCTGAGTTCAGTGTGCGGCACGCAGCAAACACAGGCTGCACTTGTGCACTGATCACAAACTGCTATCTGTTAATATTGGCCCTGAAATGAAAACATGCTACAGACGCCTTAATCTGAGTATTAAGAGCTGAAAACTCCTCTAAAATAATAAAAACAACCAATTAACAAAGCAATGCACAATGCATATATTATGAAACACATTAATATAATGAAAAACAAAGCCAGCAACCAAGTAGAAAACACTTTAAAATAACTACAAATAGTAACAGTAGAAGCCATTATGAACTGTCCGCGTAAGGCTGAATGTACTTTATCATGTGCTGCAATATCTTACACAGCACTTCAGCTCAGAATAGCTCACAAACACCCAGAGGAGAGAGAAAGCCCCGTTAGAGTCTGAGTGGGCTGATTTAGCCTAAAAAGGAGACTCTTTTTCTCTGAAATGCTTCCATTCCTCTCCGGCATCCCAGACTCCTCGTCTGCACAGGAATCTCTCTCAGCGCTGTATGATCTCCGGCCAACACGCCGGCTCGCCGCAGGGCTCAGGGACACTTCCAGCTTTCTTAGAATGAAAGTCTTACGAGAGACAGTCGAGAAATGCTGGAACAAGATTCACATGTGAACCTCAACCGCTCTCTGACATTTAAACACTAGTGATCTGCTTTGACATTGTCTGCACTGGAAGCATCTCAACAAGATACTCTAATGTGCGCTAAAATGCATGGTACACAACAATAGTGTGTAAAAGTGTCCATTTCTGAAGTTTACTGTCTATTTAGTAGGCCTCTCACTAGGGTTTGGGAAAGACAGTCTTTTTCTTAAGATCAGGGATTACCAAACTTTTTTTTCCTTTGAGCTAATATATATATATATATATATTAAAGTATACAGAAAAAAGTTTTATTAAGTCTACCTGAATTTTTATATTTCATTAATTTAACACAAGCACATATTCATGGTTCTCTGATGACAGTTAATAGTCATGCAGGTAAACAAATGTACTATATTATACTATATATACTATATAATATTATATAATATTATGTATTATAACTATTGATATATTAACATTTCTTTGTTGACATTTTTATGATTTAATTTTTTTAGTAAGTGCTTTATTTTGATAGTTTTTATTTTGAAATAATTTCTTTACATATTTATGATTTAATACATTTTTTAGTTTTTTTATTAAAAAATATTTATTACATTATGATTTGATTTTTTAATAATTTAAAATTATTTACATTTACATTTTTGTGTTTTAATACATTTTTTGTGTTTTATTTTGATTGCTTTTATTTTAAAGGTAGTTCCTTTAACTTTACCTATTTATGATTTAATTAATTTCTAGTAAGTGTTTTATTTTAATTGTTTTTTTAATAGATTATGGTTAAATAATTATTTTAATTATTTACATTTATTAAAATTGGTATAATTTATGTTTAGTGTTTTATTTTAATTGTTTTAATTTTTTATAATATTTATTTTAAATTATTTAAATGTATTAATATATTTTTTATATATATTTTTTTTATAATTTGTATAATTGAATTAATTTAGCATTATTTAATTTTTTAATTATCTGTACATGTCTATGATTTAATTTTCAGTAAGTGTTTTATTTTGATTGTTTTTAGTTTAAAATAATTTTGGCAAACCCTGCTTTAGAGGAATGACAATGTGCCATGATAACGAGCAACGTGACGACCGATATCCCATCATGCTCTGGTGTTTTGGGGCTGTGGCGCACCTGCAAGAACATCTCTGCTGCACATTACACAGTCTCACCATCTGCACCTCCTCTTCAATGAACAATCACGCAGCTTTCACACGCTGTACCGAGAGCTTCAACATCGGCACAGTTTCTGAATTTAGCTCCCGTTCTGTCGTTCGGTTCATCTGTTCAAAGTGAGCTGCTCCAGAAACACACAACAGAAGTACATCTCACTCACAGGTGTGATAATGCACAGTTCCTTCTGTCTGCACGTGTGCAATGACCCAAAAATGAATACAGCATCCTTACATCACAACGCCCTGTTTTAAGCTCAAATGGTGCATTTACACAAATGTTTGTGCACAGTTCCTGTAAATCAATACTGAATTAAGTACATTTACTTACACTCGTGTGGTTCCAAAGCTATATGATTTTCTTCAGTGGAGACGTTTTTAAGAATGAAACAATGAAGCTGAATGATAATGAATGCGAGCTCCAAAAAGACTCGACATTGCACTATATTCCTAAAACATTTTCTTGAAGTCCCTCTGAGATTTTAAGTGAATATTTTGACCATTAACCATGAACACACTTGCATGGTCATGGTTAATGGTCAAATAACATGCAACTGAACAAATTGCTTATTTATTATAAATATAATTACTTATATATTAAAGGGGTCATATGATGCTGCTAAAAATAACATTATTTTGTGTATTTGGTGTAATGAAATGTGTTTATGCGGTTTAAAGTTAAAAAAACACATTATTTTCCACATACTGTACATTATTGTTTCTCCTCTATGCCCCGCCTTTCTGAAACGCGTCGATTTTTACAAAGCTCATCGTTCTGAAAAGCGAGGTGTGCTCTGATTGGCCAGCTATCCAGTGCGTTGTGATTGGCCGAATACCTCATTTCACAACGAAAAACACTGCGGCCTAGCGGAAGCCCCGGCTTAGCGTGAGCTGAGGCCGGGATAGAGTGAGTTGAGGCGGCAGGGTCGAGAACGGCGCGCCCGGAGGATTCGACGAAGGAGC